CAGGCCGTCATCGTCCTCGGGGGGCCGCTGTGGGACCTACGGGAGACAAGAGGTGCGTTAGGGACGGGCAGGGCTCAGAACCTTCCATCCGCTCCTCCTCCCGGTCACCCGCAGCACGCCGGGGGGGTGGGGGGGCGACGATGTCCCGGGTCCCTGCGCCCCCACCCCAGACTGCAATCAGACCCCCCATCCTCAGGCCCTGCGCCCCCACCCCGGCCTGCGATCGGACCCCAGACTCTGCGCCCCCACCCTATCCTGCGATCGGACCCCAGACCCTGCGCCCCCACCCTAGCCTGCGATCGGACCCCAGGCCCTGCGCCCCAACCCAGCCTGCAATCGGACACCCCCACACACACCGGCCCTGACCCCCATCCCACCCTGCGATCGGAACCCACACCCTCAGGCCCTGCGCCCCATCTCGGCCTGCAATCAGATCCCAGGCCCTGCGCCCCCACCCTAGCTTGCGATCGGACCCCAGGCCCTGCGCCCCCATCCCGGCCTGAGATCGGACCCCCCCATCCTCAGGCCCTGCGCCCCCACCCCAGTCTGCGATCAGACCCCAGGCCCTGTGCCCCCACCCCTAGGCCCTGCGATCGGACCCCAGGCCCTGCGCCCCCATCCCAGCCTGTGATCAGAACCCCCCCTCCACCCGGGCCCTGCGTCCCCACCCCAGCCTGCGATCGGAACCTCCCCCCCCCCCCCCCACTGCACAAGGCGGCCCTGGCAGCCTAGTGCTTTTTGATCTGGCCAGACCTCAGACTCCAATCTCCCTGTACCTCCAAGTAGCTGAGGTGAGCTATCATGCATGCCCTGCTTATTTTGGAGATGAGATCTTGCTATCATTTTTCCTTTGGCTGGCCTCAAACCTCAATCCTCCTGTCTCTGCCTCTTGGGTAGGCTGTCTGGGCTTAGCTTAGAGTCGCACGGCCCCTCTGATTCAGTGACAGTGAGCAGAAGGTAGATTCATAAAGGTGTTTGGAGACAAGTATTTTTTTTAAGTGACTAATTAGTCAGTCTTTCCTCTACAAAGCCACACTGAAGTGAGTTTGGAGGCTCCTTCCATGTCTGGATGATCCCTCAGCCTTGTCCGGGGCAAAGGTCACAGAAGGGGAAACACAGACACCAGAGAGAAGGCAGTGATGGGGCCACAAGCCAAGGACACTGGAGGCAAGGAAGGATTTCCCCCAGGAATTTCAGGAAGAATTCAAGTCAGGCCTTATTCTGCATTTTGGAACAACTGGCCTGCAGAATTGTGCGGGCCAGTTATTTTGTTGTGGTTTTTACACCACTGGTTCTGTGGTTATTTGTTCAAATGGTAAGGACATGGTGGACCCCTGGGTAAAGCAAGGAGGACACTGGTGTTGGCCAAGCATTGGTGGTGGTATTAGGGTCACCCCTGGGTAGAGATGGCCCAGGGTCCAGGTCACACTTGCCAGTCTGCTACCCTGAGATGTTGGCTTTATCCTACAGGAAAACGCTGAAGCCCAGAGAAATGGTGTCAGGTGTCAGGGTCTCAGGCTGCTAGCATTTCAACTATGTTTTGAGCTATAAAACCCCTAAATCCAGGATCAACCGGCTCTTTGTTAGTCAGGGACAAACCAAAGAGGAAATCATGGTGAGACAAAACAAAAACAAATACAAAAAACAAACAAACAAAAACCAAAGGAGCTAAGTGATAGTGGCTCACACCTGTAATCCCAGCTACTCAGGAGGCTGAGATCTGAGGATCATGATTCAAAGCCAGCCTGGGCAGGAAAGCTCATAAGACTATCTCTGATGAACCACTTTAGAAGAGAGACAAATAGGGTGCCAATAGGAAGATGGTTGAGTAATGTAGGGTTTAATGAGTCAACAAAATAACAAAATCACAAGCAATACCATGCAGAAATAGGGTTGTAATACAATATTAACTGCTAATGCCAAACACCAAGTTGAAACTACATCATGACTGCAAGTAGAAAGATTCTGAAGGACTGAAAGGACTCTGGACACGGACATGGAAAAATGAAGAATAATCGGATCTGTTACTGAAGCTGAGCCCAGAAGTTTTCTTGTAATTGAAAAAAATGCCAGTCATGGTTATAATACTGTTTGCTCCGTAAACACAAATAAACAGATTAAAGGGAGAAAGATTCCGAACAGATTGTGGGAGGTGGGGAAGCAGGGAACAAACCCAGCGCTGACAGTAACACTACTCATAGAAAGTTCTAGAAGTTCTTGTCACCACCAGCAAGCCCCATAACTAGCGCAGCGCCAAATGTTTCCGATGTATTGGGTTTCGGCACTAATGTGAAATCATGTACGAATTCACTGGTTCCTAATTCTTCTTTCTACGAAATGAAACCTGCCATCTGTTCTTCATAGAAAAGAAAAGAAAATGAGCCGCAGGCAAACACAACACAAAACGAAAAGTCTGACATTCTGAAGTCTCATTCTAGAAGAGACTGGAAAAAAAAAAATAGACGTTTGGTGACAACCGCGGACCCAAGTCAACACACCGGAAACAAATGTTACAGAAATACAACTTAGGAGTTTGAACCCGGGAACTATGTCTTGGGAAGCCCAGAGCCATGGCAAGAGGGACTACAGGCATGCGCTACACAGCTTAGGCCAGGAGGAAGACTGTCTCCATAGACACTATTGCCAGGCCACACGTCCATCAAAGCCACTGCAGGGGTCTCTCCGCCTCCATGTTCCCTCTTGGTCCTGTCTTGACTCAACACACTACCCAAGGCCCCAGATCGAACCTCTCTGCATCGATCTCGATGCCCGTGGTTGCCAAATGAATGCAAAGAGCCTCTAATCTGAGAATCCCTCAGGATCCCTGGGGGCTCCAGATGCATTCTGGGAAAGAGGCATAAGACTGCTGGTCCATAAATCCCAAGCACAGGAAGAGCAAGGAGTGGAGGCCGAGAAGAGAAGAACAAATGTGAAATGCCAAGGTGAGCTAAAGCCTGAGCTGTAGCCGAAGACAGCACGGACAAGCAGAGCCCACATCCCCGCGAAGCAGGTGTTTGGGTGCACTGGCATTAGAGCCCCCATGCCAGGCTGTGCCCGCTCAGGTGGGAAACGCTATAGTCAAGGGCCTTGTCTACATAGACATCAGTGAGTTCATGTTCTTCATCCTGCACCAGAGACTCCCATGGACACCCGCATCCTATTGGGTGACTTTTCAAATGTTTCCTGGCTCCTACACGAAGCTTGGTGGTAATGAACCAACAAACTGGGTCAGGCCAGGAAAACACAGCGTCCATTTGCCTGGATGCTCACAGGTGAAGTTGAAAAATGAAGGTGCTAAACCCTGAGTTCCCTCACCAGGTCCCCCACCCCACCCCCCTGCTCAAGGCTGCCACTTCCCTCAGCCCCAATGTTCCAGCCACAGTGTTTCATTACCTTTCCATTCCCTGCCTGTGGACACAGCCCTTCCATGCGCCATCCAGGTGGAGACAGCCTGTCTTCCAGAACAGACTATGCCCTCCGTGTGCATCGTGCCTCCCCGTCTGTGCTGAGCAGGCTGCATGCATGGGAGATGGGCTTTTGATAGATGAGACATAGCAGCAAGCAGAAGGTGTAGAAAATAGGAGAGACAAGCACCAGCTACCAGTAGCTCACGCCTGTCATCCCAGCTACTCAGAAGGTTGAGATCTGAGGATCATGGTTCAAAGCCAGCTGGGGCCAGAAAGACTGTGAGACTTTTTATCTCCAATAAACTACTTGAAACACTGAAGGTGGAGCTGGGGCTCAAGTGGTAGAGTGCTAGCCTTGAGGAAAAAGAAATAAAACGAGACAGGGGAAGGACGGATGTATGGGGAATTCTGGGCTGGATGCTGCCTTCTGGTCCCAGGGCTGCTCTTACTCATCTCGTGATTTGCAGCCAGTCAGTCTGCGGCTCTCGACCTCTGTTTCTCCCTCAGTAAATGAGCTAGTTGGACTCAACATGGACCCGAGGTCCCTTCCAGGGCTAATGGGCTAACAAGTTTTTCCTGGAAAATGGCTCACATCTCCTCCCCACCTCCCCTCCACAAACACAGATATTGATTTACTTCAAGTATCATGAGAGCAGGAGAGGAAATCCCAGGTTCAGAGCTGAAATCCTTGCTGGATGCAATGCAAAGGAGACACAGATGCAGTTCTACAAGATTCAAAGGCAGGGGGCTGGGAAGGTGGCTCAGTGGTAGAGCGCTTGCCTTGCATGCCTGAGGCCCTGGGTTCGATTCCCCAGCACCACATAAGCAAAAAGAAAAAAGCCGGAAGTGGCGCTGTGGCTCAAGTGGTAGAGCGCTAGCCTTGAGCTGAAGAGCTGAGGGACAGCGCCCAGGCCCAGAGTTCAGGCCCCACGACCGGACCCCCCCCCCAAAAAAAAAGATTCAAAGGCAGGACCCAGCCAAAACAGAACAACAACAACAAAGTATCTGAATAAGACCTGCATAATGGGAAGCACTCCCCCTTTCTGAAGCTGACCTGGCCCTTTTATTGCCAGCCATGGTGGGGGATCACCACCCACCCTTCTGGAAGGTGATGCAGCCATGCGCTTGGCCTGGGTACGGGCCCTGCCTGTATTTGCTGCAGTTACTCGGGAAACAGAAGCCGGTGTCTGTGTGGGCTGTCTGGCCACGTGCTTTCGCAGGAAGGCCAAGTCCGTTTGGCTTCAGGTTCTCATTGGCACTGGCCCAGTGGCCATGCAAGCCAATAGGACCAGCCAGCCACAAGAACTCAGAGGCTGATTCGGGAACAGCAACCTTCCAGTGCAAGTTCTGACTTGCAATTCGGCCATCTGCAACGAGGTCAATAATTTGGCATTCTCCAGGATCTGCAGGCACCCATAAGAAAAGGAAATACTAGCTAGGAGCCCGTGCCTCCTGTCTGGACTTCCAGATACGCAGGAGGCTGAGATCTAAAGATTGCAGTTCAAAGCCAGCCCAAGCAGCAAAGTCTGTGAGATTGTGTCTCCAATAAACTACCAAAACAAAAACGTGGGATTGGGGCTATGGTTCAAGTGGTAGAGCATTAGCCTTGAGCAAAAAAGCTCAGGGACA